ACAATGATTCATCACTGAACAGAACCGTTCACATTTTCTGCACATTCCATTCAATATGAGATGTAGAAAACAGGAATCTTTTCTTCTGGTTCTTTTGTGAAATCAGCGGTTTCTTTGCAGGACGTCGAGAAAATAATCCGGTCTTCCACCTTTCTGTCGGAAGCCTTTTTTGCACTTGAAGTCATAAAAATAATAAAAATAAATAATTACACTTCTCAAGGCTTACCATGTTACATTTACCTTGTGATGATACAATAATGCTCTGTGGAATACAACGTCTTGGTTGGATGTGAACTGTATTGATGTAATGAAGCACTTGTTGTATTTCACTTCTTGTATTGATGTTCTTCGATAAAACACTTTGATAAAACTCACTTCGATAAACTGTCTTGATAATACTGACTGATTGACTTCCATATACTGACTGAATTACATGTTGGTAACATGTCTCTTATATAGTAAAATGAACCTGTCTGAACCTGTTCTGGTAAATTCTAGATGCTTCTTTTTGATGCTTCTGGAAGCTTCTGGATGCGTCTGAATGTTTCTGGATACTTCTGGATGCTTCGAGATGCTTCTTCTGGAAACTTCTAGAAGCTTCTGAATGCTTCTGGAAACTTCTGGGAACTTCTGGATACTTCCTTTAATTATAAAAAAAACTTCCGTGACGTTGACACGGACCAGACTTATGAAAATGAAACAAACCAAAAAAGTTGCACTTGTTTTGTCCGCTGCAAAATGGCACTAGTCAACGAAATTCTGTCTGTGTGTTGTCACCTGTCAGCTGATTGCTCATGTCATAGCAGGCTATGATTCCAGACTCCTGAACTGTTTGCTGTGGTAGTATAATTCGTTTCGTTTTTAAGACATGTAAAATTACGAATACTTTTCAGCATTGTTCGATGTTGGTTGCAAATGTTTTGTCCAATACTGTATATATATACTTAAAAAAAAAGAAAAAGGATTTTGTAGATAGTAATTAAGAGTTTTGAAGTGGAGGGCAAAATTGTCAATTTTTAAAAAAAGTCCTCTATATCTAGAACTTTCTTTGAAATAATTAAAAAAAAATTCCTTTGGAAAAAAAGTATGAGAGCCAACAACACAGGGGGCCTGGGGAGGCCCCCTGTGTTGTTGGCTCTAGTTTTTAATCCGTAAAAAGGGCAAAAAGCGGCTTCACTTTTTGTAATGAAGTTAGACATCTAGTTATGTGATATATCATTAAGTTGTGCAGATTTGTTTATCATTTTTCTAACTGTTTCGATGACATTTTAACTAAAAGAAATATTTTGATTCATTTATTGATTTTTTTTTTTTAATTTATACTATAATTACTAAACGTAATAAAGCTTAAACAAAAAAAATTAAATGTGTTAGTGACAAGTTTTAAAACGAAATTCATCGTTCCGAATTTTAAATAAATTTTAAACTAAACTTTAACTATCGAATAGCGAACGTAGTTTGTTCAGTTTGACTCACATTAGGAGGACCATCAACCATAATTTAAAAATACCTCGCAGACTTGTATTCTTTTATAATTTGTCAAGTCCAATGAATTCATTTTGTAAACAATTTGACAGGTAATGCGTCTAAAGCTGTTGACCATTGTAATTAATTTTTGTCACATGTTCTTTGATAATTGGATCATAATACGAAATCAGTTTTAGCAATCCTAAAAAGTTTCCATAATGAGAATCCCCTATTAGGTCAGATTTTCCACGAAAAGCCAACCCATGTTCATCAAGAAAAAGAATCACACCCAAAATTCGTTCCAGAATACTTCTCTAGGAGGCTGCTTCATTGATGATTTTACAATTCACAAAATCTTCAATTGACTGATAAGATTTACACCACTTAATGTAGCAATGTTTAAGGGCTTTTAAATGTTTATGCTGAGGAATTCAACTAATTAGATTCTTACATTTGATTCCATATCCTCATTCTCCAATCGTTGCAAGGGTTGAAGTCAAGTGTGGAACTTGGTTTCCGGGTGAAAATAATCGACATTGAAAACAAGACACTGCTGTCTTTGCTGGGTTAAATAAAGGCCAATATCGCAAGAAGGATTCCCCATTTTTTAGATAGATGAATATTTATTTTGTCAATGAACAAATATTTTACTGTAATATCGTTAGTTTTAATTAAATTAAAAAAACTTATACTTTTTTTAACAGTAAAATATACAAAAAGGAAAATATAAGCATTTAACAGAAAAATGCACAATAATAAAGTTTAATAGAAAAAATAAAGAAACACAGAAACGCAATAACTAATACTACCTTAAAGAAATGAAATTGTCATTATGCTTTTCTGAAAAAGTCTTGGGAACAAAGATGTCTATCCCCTTAAAATTTTCAATATCAGTATTATTTAGTTGCTAAACTTTTAAAGATGTCATATTTTTCTCTAATATTTCTTTCAAATGAACTAATTTTGATTCACCTTTTGTTTGAATTGCTATCAGAACTTGTAAATTAAGCGACATTTTTATTTTGTAATTAATGGCTTTACTTAAAGTTTAAGAGATGTCCAAATAAATAATAGTTTAACAGGGTGTATCAATTAATGGAAGTCCAATTTTATTTTTTTACATTATAAACATTTTTTTTTCCTATTTATAGTTCAAAATGTAAGTTATTAATAAGATACACAGTCTTATAAAATAAAATTGGGGATGTTTATTGATATATTTTAATATATGTTTGTTGCTAAAAATTGTTTTAGCCTTCTGATGATAGTAAAACAATAAAAATAGACTAAAATTTAACTTAGGGCGTATGTTTAAAAGGAAGTCCAAAATATGTTCTTTATAAAAAAATTATTTTTATTTTTTGTAAACCACTAAAAGAAACTATTTTAAAAAGTAAATTTTGTATCGTTGAATAAAAAAAGGTCAATTCAAGTTTTTTATTTAAATTTTTAAAGTCAAAAGATAAGTAAACCTCCGTCGAAGTATTAAAAGCTTAAAGTTATCTTTTAACTTTTGTCCAAGTTATAAAACCGTAAAAAACTATTTTGTATCCCGGTTTAATTTAATTTCTTTCCATCTGTTTTAACTGTGTACAGTTTGTTTGATTGTTGCTTTATTTTTGTTTTGTATAGTAATATATTCAAGTCGGGAACTTTTTTTTCTCCATTTTTCAATTTGGGTACGTCCAAGGACGTAGCAGACATCCCCTAAACATGCCCCAGTGTTTAAATTAACCGAGTTTGGTTTGCTATAATTTTTTTTTAATGAAGGCGATTGATTACTTGCGCAAGCTATATTACAATAACTAATATAGCAATGGATAAATTAAAAATATAAACTTTTTAGACTAATATTATGCAAAAGGTGCCTTGTTTCAAACATAATCCCCAAAGTTGAAGAAGTTTTTATTTTAAGTCGTTTGAGATTTACTAGTTCAGTGTTAACGGTAGAAAAAAACAAATTTTAAGCTGTTACCAGAAAAGAAAATATTAGCATCAACAGCAAAAAAAAAAAAAATTCAGGAATTTAAATGACAAATAAATATTATTTATATATATGAGAAATAGCAGGGGACCAAGTATTGAGCCTTGGAAACACCATCACTAATAATTTATAACTTTGTACTAGTTAAGTGATACGAAACACATTGTTTACGATTCTGAAGTTAAGACTGAAACCATTTTAAACTCGAATTCAAAATTCCGTAGTTTTGCAATTTATAGAAAAAACTTTTATGATTTGGCATTCTGCTTTTTAAAACAGACATTAGAAATATGTTATTTCCGTTTTTTTTGACATATCCAGCGGAAAGAGAATGGGACTAACCCTGACAAACCTTTCTAGCTGTGTGGAGAGTAAGTTTTCAGTTTCGTCACCAATGTTAAAGACTGCAACAACGCTGATTTGGTCAACCACTGTTGAGGAGAAACTTGCTCGGGTGACACCCTTTGAATGGCCCTGTTTGGAATAGATGGGAAAAATTACATTAGTACATTTTGTAAGGTACAACATATATCCGAATATTTTAAAATATTTAAAATATTTGGATATATGTTATATTGGAAAATAACCAGTTATTGCTGCTTTAACTAAAAACGAATATCGTCTGATATTTACATCAAATTTTGGCCAACATTCCAAATCAATTTAATTCATAGAGTTATAAGTTTCCGATCCGGATATCCAAACATTTGATTATCCGGATAATCCGCCTAATTTTTAATAAAACAGATAAAAAATCGTGTATTTTTTAATTAAAGTAAAATATAATAAATAAGTAAAAACCTGAAGATTCTTAAAAGAATAAAAAGAAAACAAACAGATGCATTTTAAGTTTTATAGTTTTTATAATTTTTATTATGATTTTTATTATAATTTTTATTATAATTTTTATTATAATTTTTATTATAATTTTTATTATAATTTTTATTATAAAAACTATAAAACTTAAAATGCATCTATTTTTTTAAATTTTCTAATATTTTAAAACCAGTTTATTAAAGGTAAGTTAATTAAGGGTAATGAAAACATTATTGTTTTTATTTAATAATGAAAGCGATGATGTTTCCTTAATTTTTCTTATCGGATTATTATCATTTCTAATTTTTTTTTTTTGTTGTTAAAACCCCATTTTTTAAATCAACTAAAAGTAATTGAAAATTGTCAGTTTTTACACATATCAATTTCTCAATTTTATTTCTTCCAGAATCTTCCAGAATCAGAATCTACTCACAGAATTAAATAAAAGCACTAATTTACTAAAAGATTTGTAAAGCAAAAATTGCTAATATTGCTAATGGCAATATTTTACTTTTTTTTTTAAATAATTTTATTCTTTTTTTTTTCAATCTCTCATATGGGACCTTGTAGTTTGTTCAAAACAGTGCTTAATCCGGATCCAATCAATTAGTTATTTTTTAGCGTATCTATACCCTTTTTGATCCTGCATCTAATAAAATATAATGCGGTAACAGAACATTTAGATCCTCACCTGGCCCTCTAAATAAAACTTCAAAAACATGCTTTTACTTACCTTTGAATGGCATAAACACAATATCTCCATATTTTTCAATTTCTGTTTTTATTTTCAACTTAGTGTTGTTACTTTCATTTTCAGGAGAATCTGTAAAAAACCTACAGTAGACTAAAGCTTCATTTTCCTTGCAAGTTTTTAACCACGTAAAACGAATTGCGCTTCTTCTATTAAACTCGTTTAATTTGCTTAATATACCTATAACCAAAATAAATCCGTTTTGCACTTGGTTATTATTAGTTTTTTTAAAATTAAACATGTAGCGAGAATGAAAGAAAGATGTTCCATAAAATATTGAAAAACCAAAAGCTACGCTCAACAGCTGCCATTTTAATCGTCGAAGGACAAGTTGCATATTAGATTATAATAAAATAAATAAATCACGAATAAATAACGTATGATTTTATTTAAAAAAATAACATTTAAAAATAACTTTTAACTCTCCTAAGACCCTTTAATTTATAAATTAAAATCAAAAATTCAAAAAAACCAAACGTGTAAGAAATACTTTCTTGAGTATTAAAGTTTAGTTGTCCTAACAAAATATTTTTCTTATTTCTTTAGTTGCTTAGCAACATTTATTTATGTTTTGAAAGCTCTATATTAAGCAAGAAACGTTATAACAAACATTCATTAACGTAACTATATATATATACTTTTTACACAGTAATTACTTATTAATTATGCAAATATTACTTAGGGGCAGTACCAACAAAAGTAAATTAAAACGACTTTATTGTCCACAGAAGCACATTGCACGTCTCATAAATTAAAAAACCATTTTAATCACTCAAGGCCTCTCTTATTTAATATAAATATTCTTTACATAAATCAGTTAAATATTTTTAATGTCTTATGGTTTATATTTAAATGTAAAATCAACTCATCTCCAATTTTTTTCTTGATTTTTATTTTTTAAAGGGAAATAATAAAAATAAAAATTCTTTTAAAAATTATAGTTTTATTAGACAACCTATTTCCCAAACCAAATTTGATCAACTCTGTTTCCTTTTTTGGAGCTTTTTTTATAGAACTGCAAAGTTTTAAAATATTTAATTTATCAAATGAATTGAGTTCTTATTTGTTCAAAAGATTACTAAAAAAAATAATTTTTTAATTAAAAATATTTTTCTTTTGAATTATATTTATATATTTATAAAAAAATAATTTGCTACTTTTTTCAAAATGTATTTAAAATAAGATAACTCCGTCATAATTTAAAACTAGATCAGCAACAATCTTTACAAAGGGATTTCAAAAAAAGTTGCATGCATACTCTATAAAATTACGTCGAAACAACCTTAAATTGGCCCTATACCATCAATTTATACCCTATACCATCAAACTATACCCTATACCATCAAACTTGTCTTAATAATGTTTAACTTTAAAAACTTTTTACTGCATATAATAGGATGCTTAAATACAAAAAAAAAAAAAAAAAGTAAAAAAATATAAAAAAAAACTTTTACGGGCTCGGTAAACCATGTTTGGTTTATTGTGTAATTGGGGTATTTTGGACTCAAATTATCCCAATTACTGTTTCCTTGATAACTTTCAAATCATATTTACACAGCAAAATCTGTGTAAAAAAGTGTGTCCAACAAAGAGCTTCTAGAATTAAAATTTTGAAAGGATACAGTTATAAAGAGAGGTTAAAGAAGTTGGATTTACTACCGTTGGAGAACAGAAGAAGAAGGGGTGATTTGATACAAATGTTCAAATATTTGAAAGGGTACGATATTATAAATTTTTACACTAAACCCGAAATGCTAGATAACGGATATAAAACTAGAGGTCACAATAGTAAACTGAGAAGGCAATATACAGGAATTATAAAACGACATATTTTTTTCACAAATAGAGTAGTAAACGACTGGAACAATCTTGAACAAGAAACAATAGACGCAGTCAGTATCAACCAGTTCAAAAAAATATTGGATGAACATTTTAAATACTAACTTTTATTATATTTGTATGTTAGTGTGTTACAGCTGTTAAAGTTACAAACTCTACGTAGTTTGAACTCATCAATCTTTAAGTGTACAGCACTATTATATTATATTATATTATATAAAATCCAAGATTCTAGATTAAGAACTTTTGTTCTTATTTGAAGAACTTTTGTTCTTATTTGAAGAACCTGATCCAGAGGTGGATTTGAACCACGGATCTTACGTTGTTGAGGCAAGTGCACTACCACTGCGCCACGGCTGCAATATATTCATATCTGCGAATCTGCATAAATCTAAACAGCATAAGTGTGAATTTTTTGTATGGGCGACGTGGTAGCAGAATAATATAAATATAAGGTGCAAGCAGGACCTGATCTTCTACAAGGTATGTAAGACCCGAACCTAGGGCCCCCAAAATTTTTGGGGGCTCCTAATTTTCAGCTTTTAATAATTTTTTAGCCCATCAGAACCTTTCTGACGTAACAATAGAATTTAAAAATGTTTATTTTATTTAAAAAATTTTTAGGTAAAAAATATTTGATTATGAAATGATTTCAAGATGATTTGCTTGGATTTAACCTTTCCGCTCCAAAGTACGCCTTTTGACGGTTTTAAATATACATCTATGTCTTACACAAAATCTCAGAAACATTACGTTGATGCAATTCTGAATTAAAATTATGAACATATGGTCTACAACAGTCTGGAAAAACTTCAGACCGTTGTGGACCATATGTTCATAAGAAAGTTCGACCAAATGTTAACTTAAAAAAGCATAAAAATTATGACTTTTAAACGTCGCTAATTAACTGAATCAGAAATTCAGAACTTCATAAATGAACTAGAAAACAGTAAAAATGAAGATTATGAAGATGATTAGTGGCATTAATGTCTATCAAAAGCAAAGTTACAAAAAGTCTAGATTTTGAAGAGATTATGAATCACTTTTTGTATGAAAAATCAAAAAATATATATATATACTAATTTGGATTCATGTAAATTATAATTGTCTAAATTTATTTCATACTTTCTTGAATGTTTCTTGTAACCAAAGAAGTACTTAAATTTTAGTTAAGTGAACTTACATATGAACGTGGCTGCAACGTTGGTGGCTGCAACGTCTGCAACGTCTGATTTCGAAAGCTATCAACCCGGGTTAATTTCTGGGTAGCTGGTCATAGGTCAACTCAAACTTTCATCCCTCAGTGTTCAATAAATGAGGACGCATTTATTCGTTCACATAATTTTTCAACAAGGGGGCCCCCAAATTGTGTTGTGGCTATAGTCCGTGTTGTTCTAGATCAGACCCTGGGTGCAAACATGCATAAGTGTGATTTGGTTTGAAATGTTCCAAAGTTGACACTTCTTTATAATAAATGAATTTAACAAAAATGAATAAACTCCCAGGCGATGGATCAAGGAGTTTTTGTATGGCTAAAGACTCTGCCACTTCCGCCTACCCCTACCCCCTCCCATTAGTCATTAGGGCCCCAAAATCTTAAAAACCTATAATTATGCACAGTCAATTACAAGCGTTATGTTTATGAGTGCATGTTCAAAAAGTTCATTAGAAATTTGAGAGATTTTAAAATGGCTGCGAATCTTAAATCTGTAATTTCTTTACTTTTATAAAAAATTCTCAATACCATCTTCCATCATTTAGCAACCTTAAATTATATATTCTAAATCATTGTTCAGTTACGTACAGCATAACAACTCACATCACAAACCAATGCATAAAATCATGAAATAATTTATCATTTTTTATTCATAGAATAATTTACTTTTTATATTCACTTTATATCACTAAACTTTACAACTAAAACTCATCTTTATATCTTTTTATTTTGGAGAAATGTAATTACTGTTCGTAAAATGTTACGCTCATTGTGGGTTATTATTTTAGCTTTTGGTATGATTATATGTAATATAAATATCAACATTGTTTTACTTCTATTCATATCACTATTACTTATTGTTATTGTTTAATATTAAATTTAATATTTATCAATATTATTACTATTATTATTGTTATTATTATATTAATATAAATATAATTGTTAACATTACTTACCTCGTTATAATTGTTTTAATATTGTTATTGCTATTACTATATAATTGGTTTTTATTTAAGATTAGTATTAGTACTATTTCTAAATATCCATGTGTATGTTGCATACATACACATATATGACATATATGTGTGTGTTTTCTTTTAAGCAATTGCAAGTTTCCAAATACATGCAAAGTAAAGTAAGTAAAAAAACAATACTTTTCAATTATTAAATTTAGTATTATTAATTAATTTTATTTTTTACATTTTTAATTCTTATTTTAATTGGTCTAAGTATAGAATTTTAATTTATTAAGCTGGGTAAATAAATTTCCAGTTGATAGAGTTGCAGCATTTTAAGAGAAATATCAATGTTTCCCTAATGTGCTATTAGTAAGATTTTTTTTTCATTTGTGATCTTATATATTTATTGGATAAAATGTAATAGTGTTTCAAAATCACGAATCTTTTTTTTTTTTTTTTATTATTATCTTTGCTTCCAACAAGGCTGCAAGCAACCACTAATTAGTGTTGTAAGTTACTGGAAGAGAAAAGATGAAGATTGTTGAGCAAGATAACGATTGAGAGACGACTTAAAAGATTGCAAATTATATGAATCAGGGAAGCAAGATGAAAGAAGCAAATTCCAAAGAACTGATGTTCGAGGAAAAAAACTAGACGAATAAAAGTTTTTGGAGCACTTAGGAACAGTAACAGAAAAAGGATGAGACTTAATTGAATGACGAGTAACACGAGAATGAAATTTAGAAGATGGCACAAGAGACGCTAGCTCTTTCGAGCAGTGCCCATTATAGTACTTGTAGAAAAAAGAAAGAGAAGCAACATTACGACGATGTGACAGAGGTTGAAGGTTGGCTGCAAGAGCAGGTTCAACTATGTTTACAATGCGTTTTTGCATCTTATCTAAAAGAGAAAAGGCATCATTAGAAGATCCCCCCCAGATATGGCAACAGTATTCCATACAAGGCCGGATTTGAGATTTTTAGAGGTAGAGAATAGAATCCAGAGAAAGAAAGTGACGATCTTGATAAAGAGAAGCAACTTTAGCAGATTCTAATTTTGCAACGGATTATATATAAGGTTTCCAAGAAAGATCAGAAGTAAGAGTTAATCCTAGAAGATGAAGGATAGGAGACTCATCAAGTACATTACCGTTCATAAATATAGGAAGGTCTAAACTATTGCGATAACGATTGGCCGAAAAAAATTGAGTTTTATCTGAATTAAAGTTCACCAGCCACTGTGAGCCCCATGCTGTAGCAGAAGTGAGATTCTTTTCAAGCTCAAATGCCCCCTGCAAGCAATTAGAGGGAGTTGGCTTCTTATCGTGACAAGAATAAATGGTAGTATCATCAGCGAAAAATGCCACCTTAGATGTAAGAATATCTGGAAGATCGTTAATGTAAATTAAAAAGAGTATAGGGCC